ACTCGACCGTGGACTAGTTTTCAACCAACCGCGAGAGTGGACTCGCAGGAGGCCAACATCGACCCCGACCGACACCCGAGCGAGCGGGCGGGAGGGGTAACGACGTGTGACACCAGGCAGGCATGCCCTCGACCTAATGGCTTCGGGTGCAACTTGTGTTCAAAGACTCGATGGTTCACGGGATTCTGCAATTCGCACCAAGTATCGCATTTCGCTACGTTCTTCATTGATGCAAGAGCTGAGATATCTGTTGCCAAGAGTCATTTTGCATGCATGACTTAACATGTCCTGTCGTGACGGCACCCGCGGGACACCGTCCCTCGAGTGCCGCACCTAACAGCTTTCAACGTTCCTTGGCGCACAAAGCACCGGGGTTAGTTAGTGTTTGTTCATCCATTAGGGAGGGGCACGTCGTTGCCATGCCACCCCCGGTAGAGAACAGAGTACGGATAATAACATACACGTTCGCCGGTCGAATTGGTTGTGTTGCGAGGCATCGACAATGATCCTTCCGCAGGTTCACCTACGGAAACCTTGTTACGACTTCTCCTTCCTCTAAATGATAAGGTTCAGTGGACTTCTCACCATGTCGCATGCGGCTGACCGCCCACATCACCGCAATCCGAACACTTCACCAGACCATTCAATCGGTAGGAGCGACGGGCGGTGTGTACAAAGGGCAGGGACGTAGTCAATGCGAGCTGATGACTCGCGCTTACTAGGAATTCCTCGTTGAAGATCAACAATTACAATGATCTATCCCCATCACGATGAAATTTCAAAGATTACCTGGGCATGTTGTAACCCCCTTTACAGATTACATTTATTAATCCTAATTTATTATCTAGGTTAGTAATATTTTCAATATTCATAGAAGGTTAATAGAAAATATAATAAGTGAACAATTAATTTAGGTAAGGTTTTATATTAAATCAAGCAACAAGTTCTAGTACAAAGTTTCCAAAATATTACAATTCATGAAGTTATACTTATATGTTATACAATTCCCAACCTAAGCTCTGGATTTTTGCATCTGACATCTATCTCTTGGACTATGTATTCCTGCATCATACGTCACCAACATCTCGGGATTGAAATATTTATGGGGTTAGACATTTAATTTTATCCACAACAAATAAAACAAACATTCATACGATAAAATCAACTAATGAAACATTTCTTCTAATAAGTTCCTAACTGCATATAAATATACAACCATATGTAATTTAATTTGAAAATTAATTGTGAGAAACAAATTAATCATTCATTGAATCATAATAGAGAATATCATACAAATAATGAATAATCTACAATTTCATCATCCAACATGTTTATGATATGCAAATGTGACTCAAAACGTAAAACTTTAAAATCATGCTTTTGACTCAAAATCTAAAAATTTATTTTTTGACTCGGTGCTCCATGGAGACTCATTTGAGTGTCTAGTGGAACTAGAGCTTAACATCACCCTGTCCGGTGATTCGGCAATATCCCACTAAACGCGAATAAGTAGACAGGTAGTCGGAGTGTCGGTGAACCCGCAGGCTACCACGACACGAGAATCAAATAAAGACTGGCCACTTATGGAATTGCCCATGCCCAAACACTCCCTAGACCAGAGGTCCATCCCCATAGACTAGAGGTCCTGTCTTACCTACTCTACTCCCCCATTTACTATCAGAGATTCTGGTAGCTCAATTCTTAATAATTCATTCTTTGTCTCATTTGGCCAGCCATTTTCATAGTCATATTCCACTACCAGATGCTCTTGATAGTAAATTGACTCACAAAAATATTTTTAAAATTCTATTTTGCACATCATTATTCCTACCAACCGTCCTTGGTAGCAACTTAAGATAAATTTCCAAATACTTTTCTGTAAAAACTTTTCTGTGACTTCCAGAAAACATTTCATGCACTATGTTTATGTCTCGTATGAAACAAAACAATCTATCATCAATTAAGTACTTAAAAACATCTCCTTCATATATTCAAAATTTTAATTACAATTCATAGTTGTTTTAAGCAAGACAATTTTTATTAATAATTTATTTCATAGGGTTCAGTGTTTTGTCCATATATTGAGTTCTAGACCTCATCTTAAGATGATTCCAATTGTGTTGGAAAGATAAGATAATAATCTACAACTTTGATGAAGGCACTATCCTCAAATTCTAACGTTTATTGAGTCGTTTTCCTAGTAAACAAAGAGGGGGTAATATACTGTTTGACTTTATCTCGATTATACCCTTAACCTTTTTCAAAATTCCATTTATGTCCCTAATATGTGAAATGACTATTTTACCCTTGATCTTTTGCAAAAATTCCCACCTAGTCCTTTCTTCTTCCTTCGCTCGCTCAAGCGAGTACACCGGTCGCTTAAGCGAGATGGAACCCGAGAGTCCCCTTTGTTTGAAGGCTTCGTCGCTCAAGCGAGTACATCGGTCGCTTAAGCGACAAATGACCCGAGAATCCCCTTTGTTTGAAGCTTTCGTCGCTC